ACACAATTTTTATTCAATAATCCCAGATTTGTTGGTGACTTTTTGAATTTTATTGTTTCGGTCGTTTATCAGGATGAAGCTAGGCCCTACAAATTTATTGTTTCACTTTTATAAAGTAAAGTATTACGTGATTTGTAATTTTTATAAATGTATATGTATCGATAATGATTTGCCTTAGAATTAAATACTGTTACTGGTATCCCGGAATATGAAGTTAGGTCACATTTCATAATACTTTTTTAAATTGTAAGCAAAAGTGTTAATCTAGTTAATTTTAAATATAAATATTCCATTCCGACGAGATACACAGATTTTAACTTCATTTTGTTGTCCAATATTATTAAATCAACATCAGAAAATTCATAGCGTTTTGCGTAAATAGTCAAAACCACGCAGTAAAATAATTCGTAGGTATTTTAAAATTTAAATTTAAGATCCAAATTCACAGTACATTCGCAAAGAGTTCAGGTCATATTTTATGTGGGTAACGCATTCCGCAACAACATCGAAGAAGTCTAACTTTCACATATTTTTCCGAAAACTTAGCTTACATACTCAGCTCACTCCTATGCAATCGCAAAAAAATTTAGAAACATGACTCTTTAAGCACATGTCGACAATACTTGATAAAGAAACCTTTTCGCTGCCTTGACGGGAAATGAACATGAAAGCTCTCACGATCATAAAATTAAACATCATGTTAGAAGTCATTCTATATTTAAAACCATGCAATTGAAAACATCTCCGAAATACTAAATATTCTCAATGTACGGGAATATTTTATAGGGTTTATGGACCAGGACTAAGACAATTTTCAGATGAACAATTATTTATAACAATAAGATATCAAAATATGTATGTATGGGGGTCCGTGAAATTAAATAAATTCCTCAAGGGGTCCGCGAAGTAAAAAACGGTGGGAACCGCTGGACTAGTCTATGGACTGGTCTAGAATAGTCTATGGATTGTTATATTGACTGTCCTATAGATCAGTCTATGGATTGACCAGTCTATGCACTAGTCTATGAATTATTCTATCGAATAGTAGGTATTGAATAGTATATGGACCAGTTTATTAACTAGCTTATTGACTAGTCTATGGAGTGGCCTATTGACTAGTCTATGGAATGGTCTATGGACCAGTTAGTCTATGGTCTTGTCCATTCAATTAACTAATATAAGGATTAGTCTATTGACTAATCTATGGACCAGTCTATGTACTATTTATTCTGTTGAGGAATAGTCTAAGTATTGACCAGTCCATGGATTAGATTGTTGACTAGTCTATAGACTAGTTGATCAGTCTATTGATTGGTCTATTGACTAGCCTATGGACTTGTCAAGTTTGTGGACTAGTCTATTGACTAATCTTTGGACCAGTCTATGCACTAGCATATGAAATATTCTAAGTATTGAATAGTATTAGGACTAGTTTATTGACTAGGATATTGGCTAATCTATGAAATGGTTTATGAACTAACTAGTCTATGGTTGGTCTATTGACTAGTCTATGGAGTGGTCTATGAACTAGTTTAGGGGCTAACCTAAGGTTTGATCTTTTGACATATGTATGGACCAGTCCATACGTTAGTCTATGGACTTGTCTTTTGAATTGACTAATCTAAGTACTAGTCTATTGACTAATCTATGGACCAGTTTATGTACTATTCTATAGAGGAATAGTGTAAGTATTGACCAGTCCAGTATTGGATTAGATTGTTGGCTAGTCTATAGACCAGTCTATTGAATAGTATTTTAGCTGTCTGTTGACAAGACTGTGGACTAGTCTTTTCACTAATCTGTTGCACTAGTCCATGGATTAGTTTATGGACACTGTATGTTAATTATCCACTGTATGTTAATATTTGGCCAAATATCGTATTTTTTAAAATATCGTAATTTTCGTCATAAATCGTATTTTTCGTTTAATATAATAATAAAACTTTCTTTAAGTACTTTTCGACAGATATCGCAAGTAATTTTCATCAAAACAAAAATAAGGGCTTAATTATTTAAACATCGTATTTTATACTAAATATCGTAATTTACACAAAAAAATTTTTTGTTGCAAATATTGTATTTCTCGAAAATTAAGCCAAATATCATATTTTTCATGATATTATGTCATATTAAAGTAAAAACTTTTCCCTTTAGTAAAGTTTTATTACCAGTACTCTTTAGAAAGTTTTGAGAGCCACAAAAACGTACTAAACTTCCATTAAGGATAGTATTTCCTCCCTTTTAAAAATGTGTATTAAAATTTTTCAGCAATGTTTATTGATGTTTAAGTGCCTGCAGTTATATGACACCATGGTAACTAGAAATTTAAAATTTTCATACATATTTATAAGAGTAACTACGTTAAATGAAAAAAAAAATTAATGAAATTTCAACACAGATGTTTAGAATTAAGAAAAATTGCTTTAAATTGAAAACTAAAGAATAAAAAGCAGTTTTAATTTAATATTTTTATTAAAACCCATAAAATTGTTTAACAAAATGGCAAAGCATACACATAAGCATAAATAAAACCATTGCATATCTTTAAGGCTTAAGCTGTTACTGAACGCAAAGTGTTGCAGCTTAGCAGGGTGCCATAGATTTAATTTAAGCTCTAGGTATCTGCTATATGCTTTGTTTAATTCTGTTTTCTATTTATCATGCAATTGTTGGTCATTAATAATAATACTTTGGCATTCATTCTATATAGAATTTTTCAATCTGTTGTATTTTCTTGTTGCACTTCATTTGTTTTTTGTTATAATTGTATCCTGCTGGTTTTAATGTCCCAGAATCAGTTTTTTTAATTTACATTTTCATTATTTTTGCATCTTGTTTATATTAATTGCAATAGTTTTGACTTCATTTGGAACATAAAGAAACAAACAAATGAGAAAGAAAAAAAGAAACGTTGAAGGCTAAAATACTTCTGTACGTAAAGCAGAGGGTAAAGTAAATAACCATTACGTTAGGGCAAAACAAAATAAAAGGTTAATTGAAAAGTTTGTGTTAAAGTAAGAGTCTGGACATTTGAGAGGCAGCTAGGTTAGGGGTATAAAGGTATATTTTAAATTACTTTTTAAATTAAAATTGAAAGCTGTAATATTTTGCCAAAGTTATTAAATTTATAAGTGGAATAATACTTAACGTTTTCAAAAGCAATTACAAGAATTAAAGCTTAAATGCTTTGATGTGGTGGTTGTCAAATGGCAACAAGAGGAGGAACAAAAGCAAATATCCGTTAGTAAGGTGGTAGACAAACAAGGGGTGGTCATAGATTTAATATAAATCCTAGGAATTATAAGCAGTTCTTAAGTTTGTTATACAGTTTGTATATTCTAGAGAAATTTTAACCAAGCGAAAAATTTGACAGGTAAAGCACTTTCTAAACTTTTAAATTTGGTCCATGAAAATGTATTATAGTAATTTTTTTGAAAAAGTTCCGCAAATTCTGATATTCTTTCACAAAATATCGTAAATTTTTTGCAAATATCGTACATTTGCAATATTTCCATTTTCCCCTAATTTTCCCCAAATTAAATTTTTTTCTAAATATCGTATTTATCACTAAATTCTTTCACTAAATATTGAATTTTTCTCGAAATTGTTAATATTTCGAATCGTATTTTTCATTATATGTTTAGTGAAAAATACGATATTTAGCCAAATTTCCTAAATTACCATATATATCGTATTTTTTCATCAAATATCGTATTTTTCTCTAACTAATGAATATTTCGCCAAATATAGTATTTTTCACCAAATAGTCAAATTCCCAAAATATCGTATATTTCGTGAAATATAGTAAATTTCACCATTTCGAAAAATATCGATTTTTTCTTCAAATAGTTGTTATTTCTTTAAATATTTTATTTTAGTCAAAAATCGTATTTTTGACTATATTTACGATATTTAGACTTTAGACTAGACTAGACTAGACTATGACTAGACTAGACTATAGACTAGACTATAGACTAGACTATAGACTAGACTATAGACTAGACTATAGACTAGACTATAGACTAGACTATAGACTAGACTATAGACTAGACTATAGACGAGACTATAGACTAGACTATAGACTAGACTATAGACTAGACTATAGACTAGACTATAGACTAGACTATAGACTAGACTATAGACTAGACTATAGACTAGACTATAGACTAGACTATAGACTAGACTATAGACTAGACTATATACTAGACTATATACTAGACTATAGACTAGACTATGGACTAGACTATAGACTAGACTATAGACTAGACTATAGACTAGACTATAGACTAGACTAGACTATAGACTAGACTATAGACTAGACTATAGACTAGACTAGACTAGACTATAGACTAGACTATAGACTAGACTATAGACTAGACTATAGACTAGACTATAGACTAGACTATAGACTAGACTATAGACTAGACTATAGACTAGACTATAGACTAGACTATAGACTAGACTATAGACTAGACTATAGACTAGACTATAGACTAGACTAGACTAGACTATAGACTAGACTATAGACTAGACTATAGACTAGACTATAGACTAGACTATAGACTAGACTATAGACTAGACTTTAAACTAGACTATAGACTGGACTATAGGCTAGACTATATCGTATTTTTCACCTTTTATCGTATTTTTACATAAATCAGGTAATTTTCCTCAAATATCGCATATATCGACTAATATCGCAGTGTATGAAATTGAAACCTAACAAAGATTCGTTTTCCCTAAACATTTTCTTTATTTTTCAGTTTCTCTGCCAGTGGCTAGATGGTTGGTAGCTACTTTAAAACCTCTTATTAGGTCAAAAAATGTTTTTAAAAAATTTTCACTTAGTTATTAGTTGAATGATGTACTTTGTTCAAATATAAGTATATAAGTTTAACAGCAAGTATTGGATTTTCTCTGCACACTATTTAATATTTTATAAACATTTCTTTTACATAGAATTTTTTATAACAATTTTTTTTTCTCCCCTCTATTTACAGATTTGGCACATTTTAAGCGAAAATGTGGTCAATACTAAAAAACATTTCAAACAACTGGCCCACAACAAGTATACTAAATAATACTTAAAGGAAAAAAGAAAAGCAGAGATAAAGAACATCAAGCTTAATGCAAACATAGTTTTTCCCGTACCAAAACTCTGATAAACGAAAAGTAGAAGAGAGAAAAAAAATGAAATATTTTTTAAATATTTTACTAATGAGCTTAATACCCACATTGAGTTTACAACATAAGTACCAACAGCAACAAGAAGAAAAATTGCCAACAGGAGCAGCCTTAGCAGCAGACGATTTTCTAATGGAAACCAAAACTGAAGACAACTTTTTAGATATAACCTCTTCAAAAGCTAATGCTTTGTCGGCTGTACTCGAGGACCAATTAAAGCCCACCTTAAAATTGTTTGAATTTGATGCTGTCAACTTTTATCGCCAACTAAATGCCACTATGTATGGTGGTGTGGGTGGTTTTAATTTCTCCCTGTCCAATTCCAGCTATGATGGTTATGAGGATGAGGGTTATGGCTGCAATTCGGGTCAACATACCATCATTAATCTTATCACCATGATACTTTACTCGGTGGTGTGCATTATAGGTTTATTTGGCAATACATTAGTTATTTATGTAGTTTTGAGATTTTCCAAAATGCAGACGGTAACTAATATTTACATATTAAATCTGGCCATAGCGGATGAATGTTTCCTCATAGGCATTCCTTTTCTATTGTACACCATGCAGATAGGAAGTTTTCAATTTGGTGAATATGCCTGCAAGGCTTATATGGTGAGTACTTCCATAACACAATTCACTTCTTCCATATTCCTGCTCATTATGTCGGCTGACCGGTATATAGCTGTTTGTCATCCCATTTCCTCGCCGCGTTATCGCACGCCTTTGGTATCGAAAATGGTTTCGGGTATTGCTTGGTTAACCTCGGTGCTCTTAATGTTGCCGGTGATTTTATTTGCCAATACCGTGGAGAATGGCGAGCATAGATCTTGCAACATTAAGTGGCCAGAAGCTCAGAATACCCAATCGGGTACCACATTTATACTGTACTCATTGGCCTTGGGTTTCGCTACGCCTCTTATCTTCATTTTAGGCTTCTACTGCTTGGTTATACGCAAACTGCATACAGTGGGTCCCAAGCACAAGTCCAAAGAGAAGAAGAGGTCACATCGAAAAGTCACCAAACTGGTGTTAACAGTGATTACAGTATACATACTATGTTGGTTACCCTATTGGATATCCCAGGTAGCTTTAATAACATCGCCACCCGGCAATTGTGTATCACGTTTGGAGATAACCATATTTCTTTTAGTTGGTTGTTTGGGTTACTCCAACTCGGCCATGAATCCCATACTCTATGCCTTTTTAAGTGATAATTTCAAGAAATCTTTTATGAAAGCATGCACCTGTGCGGCCCGCAAAGATGTCAATGCACAATTACAATTGGAGAATAGTTTATTCCCTAAATTTAACAAATCAAGACCCTCGGATAAACTACTCTCTAATACTAAACAGAAACAGAAAAATTCGATACTAAATCGTAAAAATAATAAAGCGAAAAATATGGCCAGCTCCTCGGTGGCCACTACCATAACCTGTACCACCAATACCACTACCTTAGAGGCCGGCAATAATATAGCCATTTGTCCTTCCACACAAATGAAACATCTTTTAGAAAATCCTGCCAGTCAACCCACTACTTCCTCTCATGACTATAACAGCCAGCTTACCGCCATACAAGGGGGCATAAGTGAAAATTCTAATTTAGAAAATTCCTCAGAATGTTCAGATACTCCTTCAGCTGCCGCAGCAGCAGCTGTTAAACCTCCTGTCTTACATACCGATTTATAAGAGCGAAACTATAAGAGTCCTTTACAAGCTAAAGAGTGCATAGTTGTTTTAAAGCAACATCATACTCAGCAGCATCATTCTCTTAATCAATTATAATAGTAGAATTTAAAAATTCAACAAATTAATTTAAATTTAGATAGTACTTTAGAAATTGAGGAATTATAACCATTAAGCAAGTTTGATATTAATTTTGTGACAAAATATATTAAAATACAAATTAAATTTAATCACTTAAGTTGTAAACTAAAGTAGTTTTAAGTTTAAAAAAAATGTGCTTAAGTTTTTTTTTTAATTGTAAGAAATTTAAAATACTCTTCCCTTTATGAAAAATGAGCAGTTTATAAGGTCCAATATAAAAGAATTTACTACTTGACAAAAACTGTAAGGAAAAACTTTCGATTATTTAGTAGATAAATATCTTAATTTTGGAAATAGTTTTATTAAAAGAATAAAAGCTTTTGAAGTTCCTTTAAGGTACAGTGGTGAACAAAAGTCAAGTGCTAGTCAATTTACATGAGCAGTGTTACTATGAGTTTTTAAAGAGAGCTTTTACAAGCCAAGATTTTCTTTCCTAAACCTCAAAAAACAATAGTTAATATTCAAATGAAGAAAATTAAAAGCTTTTGCTAGAAATGCTTACTAAAGTCTGCCATTAAGTTTAAAACACTAACAGCTTTTATCTACAACTGTACTATATTCGTTGTATAGAGAAAAGCTTTCTATAAAATTAAAAGCTTTCTATTAATCTTATTAGAACACGAGCTTTTGCTAGAAACTGAAAAATAAAATGAAGTTTAACAAAACTTAGTGTGAAAAACTAAAAGCTTTTAACTACAAATAGTTATATTCATTAATTAGTGAAAAGCTTTCTGTTAAATCAATAAAATTTTCATTTTAATTAATGTTTATTTTCTAATTTAAAAGCTTGTATAAAGAACTTTTCCTAAATCCATTTATTAAAAATACTGGCATTAAAGCTTTTATCTACAAATGTTCTATATTTGTTATTTAGAGAAAAGTTTTCTATAAAATCAATACAATTTTCTTATTTCAATTCGAGCTTTTGCTAGAAACTTGATACACTAAAGGCTTTTAACTAGAAATTGTTATATTCCTTAAAGTTTTCCATTAAATCAATAAAATTTATCTTTTTCACGCATGTTTATTTTCTAATTTAAAAGCTTTTATCAAGAGCTTTTGCTAAATCTATGTATTAATAAGAAATATAAATTTAAATCTGAAATGCTTAATTTCTCTTTTTTTAAATAGGTATAAATATTAACGAAACTTTATAAAAAATAAAAGCTTTTGATTAAAACTTTTTCTTAATAGTTAAAGCAAAAACATTTGGATATTTTTAGAAACTTAATGAAACTTTTTGTTATAATTAAAAGCTTTCAGTTGAAGTTTAGTTTTTTGTCAATAAAAGCTTATATTTTATATTAAAAGCTTTTGCAAAAAAAACTTAAGAAAGCTTTTAAACATGTTATTATTCTTAACGAATTTTATAACATTCTAAACTAACATCTTTTAATGCAAGCTATCGATTTTTAGGGAAAAGTTTTGATGAAACTTTCAAAAAGCTTTTGAACTATGTTCAAAACTAAAATTATTTAATAAAACCGTTTTTAATATTCGATTCATAGGTTGTTTACTACTGAAAACTTTTTGTGATTTACAAATTAACAAAAGCTTTTAAACATTAGCTTTTTAATGTTAGCTTAGTTCAGATTAGCTGCTACATAAAGCTGGACATTTTTTATATGTTAACGATTTGAAAAGCTATAAATTTTAGACATATTTTTCGTCAGAACTTTTGCACTCTTAAAAGCTTAAGTTGAACTACGAATACTTTTGTCCATCACTGTAAATTTGTGCAATTAATTCCTATACTATATAACAACTATAAAATCCAAATTAATTTTAAAACATTTTTATACTTAAAAGTTTTCTATAGATTTTTTTCAAACAAAATCATTTTTCATTAAAACCCGGCATCTAATGCGCAGTCGTCAGTTGTATTATCCCTTTTTTAAGACAAAAACAAAACAAAATGCTTTAAAACTTTTGTCAACTAGCAACACTCTAATAATGCACCAAAATTAAGTTAAAAAACCAAAAAGAAATTAAGAATAAACGAATTTAATTAAGCATTTTAGAAAATTATAAAAAAATTGTGAATCAAAAAAATATAAAAAAAATATTTTAAAAACTTACTGAAATTAACCCTGCATGGGAGAAAAGAGTTATCTGAAAATAAAACAGATACGGGGTATTAAAAAAACAATTATAAAAAAATAACGAATAAAATAAATCTTAAAATTAGAAATAAATTTTAAAAATTTTGTACATATTAAAAATAAAAAGTAATTAATGTTAAAACTAAAAAAATAAATAAAATTTTTATTTATAAAACAATTAACTTAAATGTAGTCTACTTTATAATATAAATTTATTAAACAAAAAACTAAAGGTTAAATTTAATATAAAACGTCAAACGTTTCCTTTTTTTCTAAATATTACTTTTGTTTTTTTATAATTTCTAGTTTGTTTTTTTTTATCTAATTTTAATTAAATATATTTATATAAGTACCTAAAAAGTTAAGCTAATTTTATATAAACAAACAATTATAAATGTTAAATGTTAAAAAAAAAGAATAAACTCTTTATTATTTTCATAATAAAAACCACAAACTCATATAAATTAAATAACATTTTAAATTACAGGAAACTTTTCATCATTTTATATGTAAAAGTATGAAAACAACAAAAAACACACAATTATTAAATAAATATGTATTACAAAATCTTTGAAATAAATTAAATAAATACATTTTTGTTAAAAATTATTTAAAAAATAAACACAAACAAATAAAATGATATAAAAAAGAAAATAGTTTATTTAAAAATGTTTTATTTGTTTTTCTCTTCAAAATGGATGTGCTAAATATCAAATAGAAAAATTAAATTATTTGATTTTTTGTAAAACAAAAATTAAAATAAATAAACAAATTTATGAAATAAATAAAAATAAAAAACAACACATGATTAACAAATTAAAAACACAAAACTTCAAAGTCATAGTCATTAAACATATCTAAATGACCCATTTTCTAAAAGGACGGAGTAGAAATGTACCAATTAGTGTAAGGAAATCACTAGGGGGTTAAACATTAAATCTGATTCCATGTTGTCTGGTGCTATTTTTAGCTATTTCTACTTAATGTAAAATATGTTTACAATTTTACGAAAAACATTCCTTGAATTTATCTTATTGAGCACATTAGTATTAAAAAAAGCCAATTTTCTCTATAGTCTAGTCTATAGTCTAGTCTATAGTCTAGTCTATAGTCTAGTCTATAGTCTAGTCTATAGTCTAGTCTATAGTCTAGTATAGTCTAGTCTATAGTCTAGTCTATAGTCTAGTCTATAGTCTAGTCTATAGTCTAGTCTATAGTCTAGTCTATAGTCTAGTCTATAGTCTAGTCTATAGTCTAGTCTATAGTCTAGTCTATAGTCTAGTCTATAGTCTAGTCTATAGTCTAGTCTATAGTCTAGTCTATAGTCTAGTCTATAGTCTAGTCTATAGTCTAGTCTATAGTCTAGTCTATAGTCTAGTCTATAGTCTAGTCTATAGTCTAGTCTATAGTCTAGTCTATAGTCTAGTCTATAGTCTAGTCTATAGTCTAGTCTATAGTCTAGTCTATAGTCTAGTCTATAGTCTAGTCTATAGTCTAGTCTATAGTCTAGTCTATAGTCTAGTCTATAGTCTAGTCTATAGTCTAGTCTATAGTCTAGTCTATAGTCTAGTCTATAGTCTAGTCTGTCTATAGTCTAGTCTATAGTCTAGTCTATAGTCTAGTCTATAGTCTAGTCTATAGTCTAGTCTATAGTCTAGTCTATAGTCTAGTCTATAGTCTAGTCTATAGTCTAGTCTATAGTCTAGTCTATATAGTCTAGTCTAGTCTATAGTCTAGTCTATAGTCTAGTCTATAGTCTAGTCTATAGTCTAGTCTATAGTCTAGTCTATAGTCTAGTCTATAGTCTAGTCTATAGTCTAGTCTATAGTCTAGTCTATAGTCTAGTCTATAGTCTAGTCTATAGTCTAGTCTATAGTCTAGTCTATAGTCTAGTCTATAGTCTAGTCTATAGTCTAGTCTATAGTCTAGTCTATAGTCTAGTCTATAGTCTAGTCTATAGTCTAGTCTATAGTCTAGTCTATAGTCTAGTCTATAGTCTAGTCTATAGTCTAGTCTATAGTCTAGTCTATAGTCTAGTCTATAGTCTAGTCTATAGTCTAGTCTATAGTCTAGTCTATAGTCTAGTCTATAGTCTAGTCTATAGTCTAGTCTATAGTCTAGTCTATAGTAGTCTATAGTCTAGTCTATAGTCTAGTCTATAGTCTAGTCTATAGTCTAGTCTATAGTCTAGTCTATAGTCTAGTCTAGTCTATAGTCTAGTCTATAGTCTAGTCTATAGTCTAGTCTATAGTCTAGTCCAGTGATGCCAGGAGATTTTTTTCAGAAATCCCTACGCTTATGAGAAAAAATCCCTTTTTTCCCTACACCCACTTTTTATTTTCCCTACATTTTTCCCTACACTACTTTTTTCCATTTTTTTCAAAGTTTATCTTAAAAAAATACAAAAATAACATCAAAAACTAAAATATTAGCTCCGTTTTATAATATAAATATATGTATGTATTTTTTTTTAATTTTTAGGAATGAAATTTCTAGAATTTAAATTTTAAATTTTTTTTCTTTCAATTTTACATCATACAAATCTTCCAACCCTGACTCTTCAGTTAAGATTAAAAAAAAACAATTGAAAGATTTATGGCAGTATATCGAATCGTGATAAAAATTTATTTTATGTGCCTCCAACAAAAAAATTTTCATAAAATAATTATTTTAAATAAGGTTTACTTTTGCGTTTACTTTTTGCGGTTTACTTTTATAAATTTTCAGAACATTAAATTCATTTTTTCAATCCTGAGTTACTGCATTAAGCCCCCGACTACTCTATCTATAAGGAGTCAGAATATATCGCCCTACAGGATTGGCATAATCCAAAAAGTCGTTTCAAGAAAAATGGATATGAATATTTAATGACATTTAACTATTTTTTTAATAACTTTTAAACAAATCAAGGGGTTTTAAAAATCCAGATTCAGATAGTTGAGGTTAATATGTTTCTCATCTAAATTGAAATTAAATTTTTAGTTGTCTAATATTCACAAAAACGTGGGTTTTAGTTTTTACGTTTACAAAAAATCGATTTCACATCGAAAATAATAGACATATTTGAAATTTCATAAATCTATATGAAAGATTTTAGTATGTCGCATGTTTTGAAGACCTTAGTTCAAGAAAGCCGAATTTTGGATTATGCCAGTCTTGTAGCGATATGTAGGTACATATATTGTATAAATTACAAGCGGAATTTTTACTAACGATACAATTAAAACTGATTTCATTTTTAATTTAAAAGTTTAATACATGAAAGAGTATATTTTTAGTTGTTAAAAACTATGAATTTGAAAAATCCCTACAATTTGACAATAGTAAGAAATCTTTCCCTTTTTCCCTACACGTGAAATTTTTGATAAAAATCCCTACAAAAAGGGAAAAATCCCTACACTTGGCATCACTGGTCTAGTCTATAGTCTAGTCTATAGTCTAGTCTATAGTCTAGTCTATAGTCTAGTCTATAGTCTAGTCTATAGTCTAATCTATAGTCTAGTCTATAGTCTAGTCTATAGTCTAGTCTATAGTCTAGTCTATAGTCTAGTCTATAGTCTAGTCTATAGTCTAGTCTATAGTCTAGTCTATAGTCTAGAATAAAGTCTAGTCTATAGTCTAGTCTATAGTCTAGAATATAGTCTAGTCTATAGTCTAGTATATAGTCTAGTCTATAGTCTAGTCTATAGTCTAGTCTATAGTCTAGTCTATAGTCTAGTCTATAGTCTAGAATATAGTCTAGTCTATAGTCTAGTATATAGTCTAGTCTATAGTCTAGTCTATAGTCTAGTCTGTAGTCTATAGTAGTCATTAGTATAGTCTAGTCTGTAGTCTATAGTAGTCATTAGTATAGTCTAGTCTGTAATGTAGTCTATTGTTTAGTCCAGTCCATTGTCCAGTATAAAGTCTGGTCTATAGTCTAGCCTATACTCATTTTCAAGCATTTAG